AGAAGCCAGAGGTAGATGATGAATAATACCGCGATTTATTTACAGTCGTTGGATGAAGATCAGATGGTCTAGAGTAGAAGTGACTGATGAAACTTTTTTTCAGGTGCGTGATGCATAGTCGGTCTCGAATAATAATACACCTTAAGATTATCTTTTCCATACAATATTTTCTGTCTTCCATATAAATGGCAGATTTTCTTGTACTTTAGTCGTAAAACACATTCAGAAACTTTGATCATTTATATGTTCGCTTCAAGAGATAAACGTCCACATGTCTCGCAGCTTATTTTCTGAAATTACATAGTACAACTACACACAATAGCGTGATGGTAAAACAGTGTATGTGTATATTACATTCTTCCGGTTCCTCCTAGTGGATATCATAAGGAACCATAACAACCGTGGTTGCTTCTTAAGCTGCCATGAGAGCTTGGCACGGCCTGATGTAAACACCGATGGCGTCAAGCAGCCAGCCGGAACGTCCCCAGAAGCCTACGATGCATCCATTCGCGGCCGGGATGGAGAAGGGAGTCCCGGTCTCTTTGCCATACGGCCCGTATGTTCTCCCCTTGTCTGTACGGAACGTCAGCGAGGTGACAACCACTGCCCAAACATAGCTGCAATGCCCATAAGTCCCCTCTACTGCGATGAGCTGCTCATCTGATGCAAAGTTGATCTGTTCGTAGGGCTAAAAAGAAGGTCTCGGTTAGGAGAGTCCTACCGAAAAGGAAAATAAAAAGGAGCCAAGTTACCATCTTATACTCCCTTCATTTTATATACAAGGCCACAATCAAAATTACAATTTGCAACTATACAAGGCCACAAACACTAATCGAGACAAAATTGATGATATTCGCCTCGTACTAGCAAAGGAGGACATTAATTATCCCTTGCATGCATGTGGGTGTGAGAAGTTTGGCTTGCGTGCGCCTCATTAATCAACTAAAAGGAGTGCACTGATAGAAAAAGAGGCTTCCGTCCAGCCCCATTAGTCGCGAAACTGTAGGAACCGCGACTAATGAAGTCTTTAGTCGCGGTTCGGCAGATGAACCGCGACCAAATGCCTGGGCCCAGGGCGCTCGCGGGCTTTAGTCGCGGTTGGCCAGGCCAACCGCGACTAAAGGTGCCCAAAGGCCTTTAGTCGCGGTTGGCCAGGCCAACCGCGACTAAAGCTCCTCCCTTTTAGTCCCGGTTTGTGGCACGAACCGGAACTAATGGGGTTGAGACCTTTAGTCCCGGTTCGTGCCACGAACCGGTACTAAAGGTCCCATTTTCAAACTCTAACCCCCCCCCCCCGGGGATCGCCTTTTCAGTTTTAAAAAAAATAAAAGAAAATAATGGAAATGTCAAAAAAATAAAAGAAAATAAGTTTCTCATGTGATATGTGGTCTAGTTGTTGGGAAAATTTGCAAATGTGAATTTTGACTTTATTTGCAAAATCTCTCTGAAATTTGTAAAAATGGGCATAACTTTTGCATACTAACTCGGATGAAAAAGTTTTTTATATGAAAAATCATCTACTCGAAAAGTTACATCCAAATTTAACGGGGGAACCCCGTTAAACATTTTCAAAATCCTCAAAAACCTAATAGAAAAAAAGTTACGGGGCTTGTAAGATCTAGAGTGGAAAAAATTGAAAAATATTCAAACAGTGGGCAAACTATGGTCAAACAATGGTCAAACTAATTATTCTAGAATATTAGTGTTACTAAATAATTATTTTAATTATTTCAATTTTGGTCAAATCTGGTCAAACTGTGGTCAAACTGTGGTCAAACTATGGTCAAACTAATTATTCAAGAAATATTAGTGTTACTAAATAATTATTGTTTTTTAAAACAATAGTTTCAAACTCAAACAGTGAAATGTGTCACTTCATGCTCAAGCAAAATTCCTGAAGGTTAATAGGATTGACATCTTATTATTGTCAGGAAAACAACAAGTGCAGACTTGGAGCGTGGGAGAATAGAACCCGGAAGTTAAGCGTGCTTGGGCTGGAGTAGTGAGAGGGATGGGTGACCGGTTGGGAAGTTAGATGATTTGGAATGATGAGGGGTGATAAAAGAATAAATTGAGAAGTGATGAGGGGTGGTGATTAGAGACTAGAGGTTAAAATAATTCAGAAATTTGAAAAAAAAATTCAATTTTTTTTTTCAAAAACCTGTGGCGGCCTTTAGTCGCGGTTAGCCACAAGAACCGCGACTAAAGGTCCTCCGCCCCGACGGCCACCTGGCGCCCACGTGGACGGGCCTTTAGTCGCGGTTCTTAAGCAACCGCGACTAAAGGGGGGGGGCCTTTAGTCGCGCCCGTCCGGTCGCGGTTGCGCAACCGCGACTAATGGCAGTTGCGAACCGCGACCAAAGGCCCTTTTTTCACCAGTGGTGAGAGCATGGACTTGTTGTTGGTGGTACAGAAAAATATGCATTAATTAACACGACAAACAAGAAGACAAGCTAGCTTGCAATATTGGCTTAAGCACACATTTACTTTTGCCTTGATACCTATAATATGGGTTTGTGGCCTTGTATACAAAAATGGAGGAAGTGATAAGTTCTTCGTAGACACGAACGGGTCTATGTTCGTCAAGAAAAACGGCCATAGTTAATTGTAAAGATATTTTTCATTGGAGTATATTCCAAGATGAAATATACCCAAATGTTTGTTAATTACTAGTAATAATGTACGTGCAATGCACGTTTATATTAGGTAGGATAGGATATTAGTTGCGTGTTATATTAGGTAAGGTATATCTATTACATGTTGGTATTTGGTAAGATATCAATTATTATTTTCGCAGGAATGATGGGATATTAATTACATGACAGATTTCATGGGATAGTGTTGAGTCAAAACATGTTTATAGCCAATGGCAATGGTGGGTAATTAGAGCGTTAAACGTGTTTGATGCTTGACATTGGAGCGATTTAAACTGCTAGATAATATGATTTGACGGTCGAGATGGTTTGGATCTGCTTTTTTGGGTCTTTTATATTGATATAGATATAGATATAGACTAGCGGGTAGTGCGCGGCGGCACGCCGCGCCATGTAGATTGATAAGCTATTTAGATTTTCTATAAGTATTAGGTAAGTCATTCCAAAACTCGATTGTAGCAAAATAGTTCATACAAGGATAGGTACATGTAGTTGATACATGCATAGGTGATCAGGAAAAGGTACATTTAGTTGGTACATGCATAGGTGATCTACAACACGTAGTGATAGTGGATACTGAATGCAGAATTGTGAAGCTCTTGTTCTCTTCCTAGACCTGAGATGTTGATCCTCCAGCTGAGTGTGTCTCTACAATGTAGTGGTAGATAGATGAAGCTGGTTCTTTTGCTCTTGTTCAGGTGGTTTGTTTGATGCGTAGACAATGTTGAAGTTGCTACTGGATGCACGTCCTGGCTCTCGACGGTTTGGCAAATTATCTTGAAATGGGAGATAAATCTTTTTGAGGATCCTTGATCATATCACATCCATTTATCTAACAAATAATTAAGGACAGAGGAAGTATAAAATTTTCTCAAATGGTTGCCGCATCCTAGAAGCAAGTTGCACCAGAAAATGCATATGCATCAGTATTCCATACCGATTAGTTCCCCTCCAGAATGCTCTAGATTATCTCTATGTAATAAATATTGCAAAGAAAAATCAAAGTACCACAATGTACTCCCTCTGTAAAGTAATAGTACTCTGCTTTCCAAATCACTAAGTAGTGATCGGTTCCGCTCCACTATTGTGTTGTTGAGTAACTCCTGAACATTGTCTTGAGCGCATCATGATTGTGGTCGTTGATGACTATACCGTGATATGTGCAAACTTGATGAAGAGTAGCTTGAGCAACCTTTTTCTTCTGAAAGCTATTGATCACAAAATTTGTAATGCCAATTTAACTTCAGAAAGAACATGGCAACATGGAACCTTCTCTGAAAAGCAGAAGTTGACGTGCTTGATTACTAAGAGAGAACCCATAGATCTCATGCCAACAGCAATAAGCATTTAAGCTACTTATAACTTGATTTTCCATGAGAAAATAACATATGTTTAATAATATTTAAAATATTCAGTCATGAAAGCATAGAAGCATCAGAATTTTCCACTGAAGACACCATGTCAGTGCACCAAAAAATAGGTCAAGGGAAGTGAAAGGAAAAAGGATCAAGTAAATAAACTTGGAAGGAGATCTACAGGAAGTAATTATTCCCTTGTACGTATCAAGTTATTTTTAAGAAAGGATAAGAAGGGCATATATAGGGGATATGTATTTTGTTTTCTAGAATACGGAGTATGCATATCATTCATTAAAGAAGGAGAGGGGGGAAAAGAACCCCAGCGAACAACTCTTCCATGTTTTACAACTAACATAATTAGAGTTGAATTAACTGAACCGATACAAATAGGGGAGTATGTACAGCAAAATTGCACACTTCCACGTTTTACTGATACAGCCAATAGAGCTAAATTAACTAAACTGAATCTGTTCCTTGTATGAGCAAAAATACTAAGCTTTTAACTGTATGACACAGCCAGTCAAATGATGCATATAACTGCTGCATGCTATGTGGGAGCGGGAAAAAACACTTCTTGAAGGTAATTTAAGCATCCAACAATTGGTGGAAAAACTGAATTACTACAGTCAGAATCCATATATCAAAACAAAGTAAAAGAAAATGAAATAGAAAACGCTCCACACAAAATATAGATATGTACGAACTGCTAGGATAGAAATAAATTAAGGAATCCCTTGGAGAGGGAATTATTTACACATGAAAGAAGTGAGCTATCATGCCGGAAATTCGGATGCATGACTAAACATCCGGAATAAAAATAAGGTAAGCTGCTAGATCTTGCCTGTTGGTAAATGCCTGGCCATATTTTTCTTACAAAAAGCTTTTAAAATTTAGATTAGATAGAACAAATAAAGCATTGTTTACCCTTCGCATAACTTACCCTTTGCACAAATACTCCAGCAAAGCTTCATGTTAATGCATATATTTTTGTAAGTTAATCAAATATGGACCACGATCTCCTAGAGAACCAAAGACCAATTACGTGGTAGAGTAATGTCTAAACAGAGGAAGCATGATGTTAGTTGTCCATGTGCCTGATAGGACTTGCACCTTTTTTTGAAAAAAAAAATCAACTTACACCTGCACGCCAAGAGTTCATGCTTACACAAAATAATCAGAAGAGTTCAGGTTCATTAAAACTTCAATATAGAATAACACATCGTCGAGGTGTTATACACACGTGTTGAATGCAAGGAATAATACGCCACTAACTGGACCATATTCAGGCTCCGTTCGGTTCATAGGATTTTTGCAGGAATCATGAAGGAATACTGTTCATGAAGGTTTATTTTCCTTTGTGGTGTTCGAAACGCAGGAATGACCTACAGTGATCCAAAGGAAACCTGTCCTTTCGATGCCGATTCCACAGGAATTGAAAAATCTGCCCGGAGCTCATGTTTTTCGCGGAAGACCGAGACGAGGTGCTCTGATCGTGGCAGTCAGCATGCAGAGCTAATTAAAATGAGCTGATGTGTGACGTGATGGGGTGAGAGATAGAGACAAAGCTGCCTTGTGGCCAATTTAAAAACCCTTAAGGCTGCTGTGCTCCGAACAGTCTACTTTCTCTTATTCCTGTGTTCCTAGACCCTGTAGGTTCTATGGTAGCCTTCAGTCCTATTCCTTTGCAGTATTTTTAACCTTCGTTTTCTCTCCCTGCATAACGAATGCAGCCTCAATGTTAAATACTTCGCAGAATCTATATTGATGGATTAGTGTTGCTACTTCTCACTAAAAGTATTGCTGAGGGAAAAAGTACAGCTCAAAGCCTGATCTGGACTACATCATCACACATAGGAACGTTGAGGAGAAGATCTTATGGAAGCAATCAATTAAACAGTTCAAGTATGTGAAACTTGACACCAATGTCCCTAGGTCATGAGATAAGGCACAATATAATACCATAAGGAAGTAGAAGTAACATGATAATTTTTAATTCTATAAAATAAACATTCCAGTAAAAAACTACAATTACGGATTGCTAAATTTGCATGTGATATTTCTCCACATTAAAGTAATACCATGGACAATCTTACAATCTCCCCTACTTTGTTTCTACATTTATCTTTGAAGGGCAGCCCATATGAATCTGAGAAAAGATATACCTTTTATGACTGCTAAACATCGTCACCATAATATTTCAATAGTAATAAGTGATCTTTCGTATGACCGGTCTTTCTAAGGCATTCTCTTTTCGTACATCACGAACTCATCAATCTGAAACAAAAGACAAATAGACAATAGTCAAGTGATATTAATTTGCAAATAAGAAAGAGATCATCCAATTACATAAAAAAATCATAAAAGATATTCAAGTACACGCCATAAGCATATTGGCATCATAATTGCTAAAACCAGGAACAAAGTGAACACTTGTAAAAAGGCATCCATGCACTGAACTAATTGCTCCAGCCACGTCCACAAAATAGTGCATCCATGGAACAGAAAACGTGTAAATACTTCATCCCTAGTGTTGAGCTAATGCCATGTTAGTTGCATACTGAAAAAAGCACACATCTTTTTTATGTTGGCTTAGTTTGGTCAATTGACCGAACACATTGCAGTCGACCTGAACACCGATACCGGAAAGATGAATGCTACAGCTAGACCGGGGTGGATATACTACAGGCAGACACGCGAATGCTTCAGCTAGCACACACATGACACAGCTGCAGCAGGAGCACAGAAGCCGCACATGCACGCGACATATCACATGGCCAAGAGAGTGCGAGGGGCAGCCGGCGTGCACTCACCGCAAAGGGGAGCAACAGCGAGATTGGGCACGTCCTCATGTTGGCCTCCGTGGCGGAGTGTTGGCCATCACCTGGCTCGAGCCCCTCCTCTACGCGGAGCTCGATCAGAAGGGAGCAAGAGGAGTGGAGAAAAAAAAGGAATCTGCTCCATGAATGCCTGCTCTGTTCGCTGCTCTCGTGGAGGCGTGCACTTGCGATTGGGAGAGGTGACAAGGAAGGCAAGGAGAAGAACAAAAAGAAGGCGGCCGGCCCGGACGGCAACCACCACTTAGATTCAGGCCACCGCCGGCCATAAACCGCAAGAAAAAAAGGACACCCAGCTGCTCACCTGACGCCGGAAAAGATCGAGCCTTCTTCAAGATGGAGACGGTATGGTCCAGGCAGGGATCGACGGGGAGGAAGTAGCCAGATAAATCGTCGGCAGGGCGCTGCCCTCCTCCCCGTAGCCTGCTGGCGCCGCTTTTTTTTTTCCGCAACCCTGGAGACCCGTAGAGGAGAGGTGGTTCGAGAAGCGAGGGTTTCATTTGATCGGGGTGAGGTGGGCTTTTTGTAGGCCCATAGGGCGGTGGAGGACTTCACCCGAGTTTTCTAGAGATTATCTCATGCATGGGAGCCGAACACGTGGAGAGTACGTGGCACACCACAATTCAGTCAAACCAGCAACCACCGTACTACCATCTCACGTGAAAGGCTCAGTGAGATAAAAAAAAGGAGGTACACTCCCATCACACGCGTCATGCGAACAAGGGCATTAAAAAAAACTCCAAAAAAACCCAGGTAAATTGAACCCTTATGGGCCTAGTATTCTAGTTATTAGTGTTGCAGTAGATGTAGATAATTTGTTATATACCAAAGGTTTGCCCATCTCATTACAAATCCAAAACATCTATGCTTAGTTGATGCACTTACCGTTAAACGAGCTCTACTTTGGCCACCGCCTTCTGCTCGTTCCAGCGTCAGCTTCACCACGGGCTCGTCTGAGCTTTGGTAGAAGGAATGGATGGCGTTGTCGGTGTACTGCAGGGTGACACTGCGCACGCGAGGGGCGCTCACGCCGCGGCCGCCGCGCATGTAGAAAGGTGCCCCGCCGGATCCTCCCCACGGCCCGACCTTGATCACTCCTCTTCCTCCCGGCCTTTTCTCGTCAGTGATCTCGTCGGAGAAGTTGCTGTGCCTCGACCACGGTCTCGCTGCTGCTCTTGTGTGGACGTCATCCCTGACCCTGCTGTTCACTTGCGTGTAGTTGGCAACTGGCATGGGCTGCAGCGCTGACTCGCGATCCGCCGCGGCCGCCCTGTTGGCTCGTGGTGAGAGCGAGACGCTCGCGGGGGATGATGACAGTACCGCAGTTCCGTCACCCGCACCGGCGAGAGCTCTGCCTGACCGTCCTTCCCTGTGATTACCACCCCAGAGCTCCTGAATTAACCATGGATATAACTTAGTTCCATGATCCATCAGCTTGTGAAGTCCAAACCAGATCGAGATGGTTAGGTAAATCTATGTGTCAATATATGTTTTTTGTGAGATCTGTCGATATGTGAATACACGATCACCTTTGCGAAGTCCTTGGCGAGGCCTCTGAAGCTGACGCTGACGCGGAGGGTCCTGTCCGACGGCGTCTGCTTAGTCGTCGCGGAGCTGTCCAGTGTTCGGCCGAGTGCGGCGCCGGCGATGATGGCGCAGCTGTAGACGGACACGGTGGCGATGATGATGAGGAAAACAGTGGCTCCGTTGAACCGCGCCATTGCTAGCTAGCTCGACCTTGAATGGCCGATGCAGAGATCGGTCAGCTAGGTGCCCCAGCAGTCCAGCACTCGTGATGGACCAGCTGGGTATAATATGTGTAAACTGTCGGCCATCTTATTAGGCTAATTTGTCGCTGTCGGAGTGTATCTGTCAATCTGCCGGTTCCTCCACGACGTTCATCCACAAATCAACACAAAGAATAGGGATGCAGGCGGACGCCGGATGCATGTCGCTTTGTCAGTGTTAGGCTGGGGAGAATGCTAGTAGTATTATACTTTGAGTTCAGCATAGCAAATTCCGATGGATATCTACGGTGACAAGGTCTTCATCTCGTATGTTTCCGTGTTTTGTCAACACGTTCCCTTTCACCTAGCTAATTTAATCCGAGGTAAAGGTTCTCCTTGACATCGCAGTTAATCATGAAAATTAAATTTTTAGATAGAACCAACTTGACCGGTTACAAAAGGATTCGAGAAACGATACAACATTGGTTGTGAGGACTGAGGACACATTTAGTCATGTGGTGAAGGCTAGCACTAGTAGACTAATATTGTCATTGGCGGTTTCTAAGGGTTGTAATCAGTGACGATTTTATGTATTAGCTGACCCCGCCAACTTTTTTGATTACTCCTTAATTTTATTCATATTTGTGCAAAAAAAATGATAAATAGTTTAGCGGACTTGACACCATGCATTTTTGTGGTTGCACCACCATTGGTTGAAATCATTGCGATGCAGAACATGTTTTTTTATGAGCTCCTGAAAGAGAAAGTGCATATGAGGCAACCACTAGGATATGAAGATAAGTCTAAACCAAATCATGTTTATACAGGCACCATGTATGGTACTCTCTTCTTAGCGCAAAGCTCATTGATATTGAGGTTCACATTTTTCAAAGTTCATACATCACATTTCTTCTACTGGAAGAATGGGTCACTATATTTCATCTTATATATTATTAGTGAGAGATGGTAGCACGGGTTATCTTCAATCGGTATGGATGGCGGTCTCATAATAGAATAGGTGTTTAGTCACTTTTGTCCTATTTTCCAGCCGGTTGTGGCTATGATTTCACTTTGTCTTCATTTTTCTCTTTGTTCCGTTTGCGAGCTATACTGGATCTCAGACTTTGTTATTTGCCGCCACTTTTAATAATATGGCCGCATGCATCTTTCGAATGCAGAAGCCGGGGGTAATCCTCCTTTTCCAAAAAAAAATCATCTTATATATGTTGATTACATAATTGTGGCTAGTTTATCAAGGATGTTGTTGGTGCCTTGTTGTGTGATCTGAAGACTGAGTTTGCTTTGAAATACATGTTTAGTCATGTGGTCAAGGCTAGCACTATTACATTAATATTGTCATTGGCAGCTTGTAAGGGTTGTAACCGTTGCCAGCCTGCAAGGGTTATAAACGTAAAGAATGGTATCTCTAGATGCATGTCACTCTATCAGTGTCAGGCTTAGGAGGGGGAAGCTAGTATTATACTTTGGGTTCAATATAGCAAATTCTGATGGGTATGTGCATTATGACACGGTCTTCACTTGTATCATTATTTTGTATGTTTTGTGTTTTGACAATTAGCAGTGTTTGTGTGCCTACAATTTCGTAAAACACATTAATCTTAGGGAGAAACTGAACTTTCGTAAACCACGTTAATTTCAAACACGTTCCCTTTCACCAACTTCAAAACACATTAATTTGAGAAAGCAACTACAAGGTTCTCTTTGGCATTGTAGTTGCTTTCTAAAATTAATTTTATATACGAACCAACTTGACCCATTGCAAAAGGGTTCAAACAGAATGCGAAATTTATTAAGATGAGACATTTAGTTATGTGGTGACGGCTAGCACTATTAGACTTTTTGTAGTTTCTAAGGGTTGTAATCAGTGGCTATTCTATTTGTTAGTTGGGGGGGGCAATTGAGCTAGTTGGAGCTTAATGTTCATTTCTTGAAAACCCCCTAACTAACAACTATATAAAACACAAGTGTCTCCATCATGTCCTCCATGCCCCCATCGGATACATGCATCAGTGAAATTTTGCACTCTAAGATGTGTTTCCCCCGGTACCATGCCTCCTTCCCGCAACAGAATGGTCGTGTTCATAATTGCTAACTATAGCATCCGTGATATATAGTTGTGTCATGTTGGTAACTATAGCATGGACACCTAGGTAACTACATAAAAAGTGTGTTGGTAACTATAGCATATGCAGCTTTGCATAATAACCATGTCGATTATAGCATGAACAACCTCATAACAATTGTCACATGTTGGTAATTGTAGCGTGGACAACTGATAATTACTGGAGTATGGTTGTGCCATGTTGGTAACTCTATTTGGGGTGGCTAGGTAACTATAGTTATATCATGTTGGTAAATTCATCATGTACGGCTAGGTAAATATAGTTGTGCCATGTTTGTAACTATAACATGGCAGTTGGCAACTAAAGCTATGTCGTGTTTGTAAGTTCATCATGTGCAAGTAGGTGACTATAGTCATGTCATGTTGGTAAACTTATCCTGGTCAGTTAGGTAATTATAGTTGTTCATGTTGGTAACTTCATCCAGTGCAGCAGGATAACTATAGTTGTGACTGTTTTTCATGGTTTTTGGCTAGGGGGAGGGGGGGTTCTTGGGTTGCTTCCCGTTTCTTATCTCTCCTTTTTCTGCTTTTTTGCTTTTTTTCAATTTTTAATGTGTTTTTGAAGAAAAATTGTGAAGAAAAATTTAAAAATCAATGATTTTTACATGATTCATGGAAATTTAATTTAAAATGTGAAAATAAAAATTTATAAAAAAACACATGAGCTTCCTAAAAATTTGTGGAAATTTTAGTTCTTTGTGAATATTTTTTAAAATTTAATAATATTGTTAAAAAGGGAAATTTCTAAAAGTACATATTTTTGGTTAAAATTTTGAATATTGGTAAAATCCATGACCATTTGTTTGAAAATCATGCACATTTTAAAATTTTGTGAACATTTTAAAAAGATTTTCAATTAAAAAACTTACTACACAAAAACATAATAAAATAGAGATATAGCAGCCCCTACACTAAATGAGCACCGACCCACTGAGGGCATGAGTGTGTGCTACCTTGCGAGCGGAATAGGGGGACTCCTCAATCCACTACATGAGCAAATTCATTACAACCAAGCAAGGTTGAAACAGAGAAGGTAATATGGCAACTAAGTCTTGGGTTGATGATGTCAGAAGTGATCTTTGTCGAGATGGGATTTGCAAAACTTTTGGAAAGGTGGTGGCTCAGGCTTGGCTCAGGAGTGACAAGACAAGACAACCCAAACCCTAGTTCTTGAGAGGCCCCCGTCCCCCACTTGGCCTCCCGAGATCTTGCTTCGTTTCTTTGTTATATGCCTACGCGTGATTTCTGACCCACTCTGACTCTCGCAGGGCTCACTAGTGCCTAGTCTCACCTTCGCTCCTGACTCGTTTTGGCGACTCCCCTTTGCTGTTCATATTCCCCGAACTTGCAACCAGGCGTTAGAACTGCGACGTCGCTCATATGCCATCACTGGCGCTGCCTATAAGCTTCTCTTCCATCATCGCCGTCTCTCTAGGGAATGCCAACTATATGGCAGGTATTGGACCTAGAGCGGACATATGGGCACCGATGGAGCTATGTCAGGGCCAACCTAGGTAGTGGCCCGCCCAATTCTAAAGAAAGACAAATTATAACTAGGCACAACCCACGTCATCTGACAAGTACATATAAACAGAACACACAACAGTTGATGGGTAAAAATTCACGAATTTAAAAAATATTTGTGAATTTAAAAAATGCTCATGAATTTTAAAAAATCACAAAATTTTAAAATCATGAATTTGGATATTTTCAAGCAACAATAGTAGCATGATAATTCACAACTAAACGAACGTGGAGTAAACATCGTGAACATTTAAAAATATCAATAATATTCTTATAATTTTTGGTCATTTTTAAAAGCATATTATTTTTTGGTTAAATTCTTCATGAATATTTTTAAATCCATCACCATTTGTTTGGAAATCATACGGAAATTTAAAAATTCATGAACACTTTTCAAAAAGTTTTACAATTTAAATGGCACCGACCCACATAGCGCACGGGTGTACTCTACCTTGCACACAGAATATGAGGACTCCTTAATCCACCTGAAGATCAAATTCATTAAAACCGAACAAGGCCGAAATAGAGAAGGCAATATGGCAACTAAGTCTTCATCTCATGATGTTCGATGTGATCTTTTTTTAGCGAAAAGGCATCGAACGAGCCAGGGATAGGTCTCGAATCTAGTTCGCCATCAACCGGCTAGGATTACAAGCATACACCCTCGGGCAAAGAGAAGGAAAAACATAATGATAAGATACAATGACACTAGAAAGCAGCAGACTAAGCCTCACATACTACGGATAATGAAGCATAAAGCCGGGCACTACAACATGACCCCTCATATAGCAACGCTTTTTTTCGTATCTAAAAGTCCATATATGCGTTGCGAGAGTCTTTACCAACGGATTGGGATGCGTAGCCTTATCCGGTGTTGCTAGTGCATAATGCAACGCTTGTACTATCGTTGGTAAAAGTGACCGTTGCAAGAGTACAACACATAAAACTTATTTTTACAACACTTATATACGTTGATGCTTAATGTACATGAATCCAAATCTGATTGATACGCAATAGAGAATTTGGAAGGCTTTAGATGTTGGTGCATATGTAATATGAATGATATTGTATAATGTCAACAATTAAATTAATGCTCCACATAATGATGATAATTATGTGTATCAAGTGAGGAAAAAAAATAAGAGAATATACTCACAAGAGGAAGAAATCATATATCAGATAAAACTGTTGGATTACAACAATGGATATTACAGGAGGAACATCATCCAAATGTGATGCACAATCTAAAATTTTCTTGACAGCAAAATCTAAACTAAAATCATCCATCAATATCCCTACAACTTGACTAAAACTAACTGAGGAACAT